CTACAGCATCTCCAGCGCTTTCCAACGGCAATGTCCGTGGCTGTCTCCTCCTGATTGGTGGAGTTGGCCCAATAGCCGTAGTGCCTCTGTGACGTCATAGAAGTGTTCAAATCTGGATCAGTCTGTATCAGATCCGTTGCAGCCCCTTTTTTAGAGATTTGGGTATGGAGGAAAATAGAGAGGGTTGTGTTTTCTGACAGTTGGTGAGTTCCCTGGAACACCGGGGACACATAATAAAAACCTATTCATGTATAAAAGACGTACAAAAGTGCATTTTGCATGATAGGTCACCTTTAAACAAAAAAAGAAGTAACACTTTGGTAGCTCACTTAGTAGAGCAGGCGCTTTTCTACTAAGTCTAATACCTTAACACACAGGCCACGTCCCTTCGTTACATGTGGTACACCTCTTTCCTGTCCATCACCCATACCATAGAAAAAAGATAATAAAGTCTGCAAAATAATCATTAAAAAAGGTCAGATCTTCCATTTAGCCTACAACACCGATCACAGTCTCTTTTCATTTCACAAATGTCACAGCTTGAATCTCATCTGTATGTGCTTGGCAACTCGGGAGATAAAAGTGACGGCTGCGCAGCGAGCATTTTAAACAAGGAAAAGCCCCTAAAGCTGTCAAGCAGATGACTTGTAAAAAAAGGGTAAAATACCTGCATCGAAATCAAATGCGTATATATGTTTTATTGAGGGCGTATTTATCCCCTCCCCGCAGAGGTTACTGCTTGCTCTGTCACACAAAGAATAGATAATGTTGACTGATTTCTGACACAGAAGCAACACTGTAATGCTTACAGAGATAACACTGCAGACAGGTTTGTCATCTCACACTGCAGACTGTCTCTCTCTGAATGGCAGGTGTGCCAGAGGACCAACAGGCTGCAATCCTTCCACCATTTAGCAAAATGTACTAACATGGAAAAGCTCCAACAACAATAATCCTACACAAAGCTTTACAGGCTTAGAGTTTGGAAAACCACAGGAAGTTGATTGTGATGTTCTAAACCCCTGAGGCAAAAAGAAAAAGGCACAACAAAGATTGGCCTGAGGTATTCCACGGACGAAGTGCATTTCTGTGCATTTTGACCAAAATGCTGTGGCTTACAGCGTAAACAGAAAAAATAAAACATAACGCTACCAGGTGTGCTAATAGGTATTCAATTCTGGAAAATGTATTGTATACTAAATAATCCACAAATACCAGGCAGCCTTCAAGCAAACAGAATTCACTGTAATTTCACTCCTTTGCTTTTCTCAAAATGAAAACACTTGTTATCGAGGCAACTTGATTCACTTAGCTTATTATAAGCTTATACACAGGGGTGCACATAACTGGTACGCGGGTACGCACGCGCAGCAACAATCTGAACCGTCACTTGTGTCACAAAGCGCATTTGCGTACCGACGTACTTGTGAAGCTTTTCCAGAAGGCGGTTAGATCACCGGACGACAGAGTCGGTTTCCGTGTGCACAGACAGGGCGGCTGTTAACGTCGGTCTGTACAGCAGCACTGCACTAAAACAGCTGATCACAACGTTCACACGCTCTGTGGTCACGAAGCTCTGCACTCTACTACTACCCCCCCCGGTGACATTCGCGATACAGAGGGCTTCATCATACTCCACTAGCACCCCCACCCGCTGATATTCGCGATACAGAGGGCTTCATGGGAACTTTGAGGGACCCGGA